CAATTCATCAGCTGGACTGGTAGCGCTGCCAGGAGCAAACTGGGAGGAGGTGGCAGCCCATTAACTACCACCAGGAGCAATAATGACATGGTACAGTTAAGAAAAAATTGATCAGAGCTGGTTTTACATGCATTAGTAATGTCATGATTTAAGTAATAAATTATGTGTACAGTATTTGCCTCTAGATGAATACACATATTAGATTAGTGGATTACAATGGAATAGAAATAAATATGCAAGTAAAACTAAATGGAAAATGTAATGTAATCGACTGTTAAAGTCTTATAAGGAAACAACAACATCTTCATGCTCGAAAATATGCTGTAAACATGCTGTAAAATCACATATCACAAAAACACCTGAGACAGGTAACACTTTGTTTTCTGGGTCCGTCAATTACTAAAAGTTTCATGGAAAAAATCAAGTAATTTACCTCTAATTACAAGTAAAATAGAGACAAAGTTAAGTACATTTCCAAGGAATTCATTCTGATTACATTATGCTAACTGAGCGATGAAAGTACACGAAGTGAACGTGCAAACATTTTAAATTTCTCTACCAGCAAACATACAATTTAATGTAGATGAAGAATAACATTTCCAATAAATTAAGGATGAAAAAATGTTTGATTAGAATTCAATGGATCAATTCTATTAAGTGAATTGCTTAAACAGCTGCTTATGAACTACTTTTATTCAAATAATTGTCTGTCTCAGCGAGTAGTACCAAATTACAAGGAAATAACACCAACTAATACACTGTCAGTAACCGTTAAAAGACCTACATAAAATAAGCCAAAAGCAGCAATAGAAAAGCTAGATGGGCTAAAATAATTTTACAATAATAAAAAGTAATTGTCATAATTTCCATCTTGGTGAAAAACATACTGAAGACTCAGACAAATATCACACATCATATCCTGCTAATACTAAGTGTAAATGAAGACAAATATTAAAAAACCTTTGACCAGAAAACTGAATATGTAAAAGATGGAAAAAGGCATTCATAATCCTGCCAGTCAGCAACATATCATTAGGCAGAAACGCTGGGTCGTACGGGGCACAGTTGTTTTTAAGAAGACCTGTGCAGTAAATTGCAGCAGATGACCAGCAGTGTTTCTTCTGGTAAAATATAGCATCTCGTTGTCCCACATACCCCCCATCACAACCCCCATGGTAGGGGTTGTCTCAAGGCTCCACATAAATTAAAGTGACAAGCTCTTGTCTAGATGTTCCCTCCGCATCCCCCCCCCCCCCCCCCCCCCCCTTTTGTTTTATAACACTTTGTTCCCCTACCATGGCTACACACCGGCACGCTGCTGATTTACATCTGGGACCAACTCAAACATGTCCTCCTAGACAATTTACAGCTACAAATACTGCTGTTGTTGAGCTGAATCCCCTCGAGGAGAAGCACTTCAGATTCTCAGGAACTAATCAAAATGAAATGGATGTTTTTCATGAAGAAATTACATGAACTTAAGCTTATCAAGGGTGTACTTGTTAGAGAATATGCTCCACTCACCTTTAAAGACAGTGTAAGCAATTTTTTTTGTCATTTGTTGAAATGCAATCAGTAATTCAGATGCTCTGACACAGTAATCCGGTATCTGTGGCTGTCGCAAGACTGTATTAAGCATGGCGCGGATAAAATGATTGGCTGTCTTAGCTGCATCCATTCTCGTTTTTGGGGAGTGGTTTCGGAGGGAAGCCTGAAAGCCTTTTTAAAATCTAGCTTTCGCTTGCTAATTCTCCAATGTTTCCTACCCTACCTTTTAAAAATACCGCAGTTATTTTGGGTGAAGAAGCCATGATTCCCATGTGTCCACATTGATACCATGGTAAAAGAGAAAAATTTCATGTACTTTAATATACACTCCTTTAATAAAACATTTGAACATTACAAAGAACAACTAACGGCTGAGAAAGTAATGAGAGGATGTCCAGGACAGATGAGAGGTGATTTAACGTCGGTATATTCAGAAACTAACAAGATGTTGAAATTACAGCCTTGTAATGTGCTTAAATTAATTATCCTAACTTTTTGTTAGAATCTCACAGGTGTGAAATGTTTAAGGGGGGTCACTATCTATATTGGCAGTGTTTTGAGATTGAGACGGAGCTGTTGAAGATAATTGCCACAACAACCGACGACTGTTAAATATTAAACTAACCTCACTTGATTTCACCACGGAGGAACTGTCGCTGCAGCTGCACTTGTTGCCATCTTCAATGTGTTGGATCCCTTTTACCTACGGTACTTTCGGTACGTAGAAAAACGAGTACCGGCATGTTCTCAGAGTTTTGGCATTGACTTGAAGTGTCCGTTCTCGTGACTTCCCCAGTCTGAAACCAAACAGACAATCCTGCTGTTAGTAAACATAAGTTTTATGTGAAAATGCAAGTTTCTCACTAGATAATATGTCTGTGGCAATAACACAGATACTGTTTCTGCAGTGTGGTGTTATTACATGCTGGCTTAGATAAATGTATAGTGAAAATATAATCTATACTGTGACCTTCTACCTAACGGTAGAATCAGTTTCTGTAGTCTGTAGCTGAATGCATCACAAAGTTTCTTAACTGCGAGCTAATGAAGTTTAAGGTCTTGCTTCAGTGCGCCTTGTTGCCCAGCAGCCCAATAAGAGGACCTCATAGCGCAGATCAATAATGTATAGACTCTGTCTGCTGAAACTCTACAGGTCTAGTAATTTATAGTTTGTAAGAAGCTTTTTGTACACAGCCAGTATACAGAGTCTATTAAGATACATCAGGTCTGCTCTGTTTACAGGACACAGTCAAGGAGAAAGGGTCTGGAAAGTTTTTAGTTTCTACATATTTACATTTGAAATTGACCTCATGCGTTTGTTCTGTTTCCAGTTTTGTCTATTAATTTCCAGTTGCTGTTGCCTCCCTATTGTTCACACAGCCTATATATCAAATTTAGATTAGTTTAGCGTTCTTAGAGTCCGTCAGAGCATATTTAAGTGATTTATTTTTTCATTTTTTCATTCATGTATTCTGTGTATACACAACAGTATCTTTGACATAGTGAAAAGTAAACAGTTTACTTTGTTTACTAACTGTAACTGATAACTTTCACCAAGTCGGCAGTGTTTTATGCACCACTGGTCACAAGAGGGCACTAAATCCGCTCATATACAAGAAGACATAATTTCCATCTTTGTCACTTCTCCTTGACTGATTTTGACACAAATGTGAGACACTTCTGCTGTCATATAATACCACGGGACGCCGCTGTGCATCAGTTTTTTTCGTGCCTCAGGTTTCCCAGGACAGTTGCAGTTGTTGGAATAGACAGATGTTGCAGCTGTTTTCACCAGGGCTCCTGAATGCTAGAGGTGTGTTTTGTGTTTTTTGGTGTTTTCTCATGTGTTTGTGTAATGAACAATAGGTCTGTGTGTTCGTGTTTAGGGAGAAAAAAAGAGACAAACAGAGGGGAAAAAAAGTGTTTCTTCTAGACATTAATATACTGTGCAGGTTGCTCAAGGACAAAATCAGCACGTGGATGTTGGTGCTGGAGGATTGTTAGTCCTCGCATTAACACCCGCTGCTGCTCTCTCGACATGCCTCAAGGTCTAACCTATTAAAGCGGGGCTAGGTGACTTATTTCAGTTGCATTTTTTGTTTTATTTGCTAAAATTCTCTTTACATCCCGACAGCAATTGATAAATCCAATGCTCTGAAAACATCCCGGATGTGTGGCTCTTGCAGGACGATAACAAGCACGGCCAGTCATTTCATTCGGTCTGATCCTGCCTACCTGCATCCACTCTCTGATTTTTTTCAGTTGGATATTTTCAAAGTCTCTTGCTAGTTTTCCAGCTTTGCCTGCCCCTGCTTTAACAACTGTGTGTATACATAATACAGTGTGTACTTGCTGTGATACTGGCTCAAACCGTCTCACTTACTTACAGTTTAATGAGCTATTTAAAGCCCTTCAACACATGTGGTTATCCACGCTTTTGCCTGTTGACTATTAGACCACATATACTTTAGATTATTGCTTTTAGATTGATCTCCACCTTTCAGGCAGATTTCACTAAGCTGTGATAATTAACTTGCAGGGACTTGAAATCTACTGATATGAGGAACCCATTACAATGAACAATTTGTAAATGTTAAATTGTTGTGAGTCATAGCAGTTCCACACAGAAAATGTCAGGGATGCGCCAACATCTGGAGCAAATTAGCTCAGAAAGCATCGATGGCCTGCTTGGTCACAGAATCAAATCCAAAAGAAACAGAAACGTGGTTATGAAACAATTTGAATTTGGTTGTGACTTGTATTTAAAGATCTCAGTCTGTCGTTTGTGGAATTGATTCTGAATGTAAATGTAACAATGACAAATAATAAAGAATACATTTATTTTATTTATACACTTTAAAGTTACAGGGACAGTGCACAGTAATAAACATTTCTGTAAATGTGCCAGCTTGGCTGATTTGACTGTGGCCCCTGGGCAGGTGTAATCATAGCTACGTAAAATACAGGAACAACAGTACTTATACATATCTATAAAAGCATTTCACAAGAACACGTAAAATACAATAATAAAGTGGGTGGTTAGAGTTATGATTGAATTGTAGATTTTCAAATTGTCTTTATTTCTGAGCCTCTGCATGATTTTGTTTTTCTTGTTTGCTTAAAACAATTCTTGACCTTGGAAATAGCAGTTAACAAAATAATCTCACCACCAGATTTATTTTTTACCGGGTCTATCAGCTTGACTACATGTACGCTGTTTTAGTCACTGTCTACCTGGAAAGCAGGAAGTCAGTCTGCAAACTTATGGTTATGTTTTATATAAACGTTGGCTGTACTTAAATATTTACAGATTGTCAAAACTGCTCTATAAATGCCAATAATTTACCATTTTATCATGATGATATGATGCCGTAACCAAACAAATCTAAAGTCTCACTCCTTCACTTTCTCACCTCTGTAAATCCTCCCCCCGACAAACCCCCTTGCTGCAGGTCGAGAGAAGAGAAAGGGTCCCATGATCTCTGCCGGTGATGCCGAGTTCCCGCGGGATTACCACACCCTGGCTGCCGGTGGCGGCCGCGGGGCCCGGCGGTTCCCCGACAACACCAACGGGGGGTTCACGTCGTCCTCGCTGGACCGCCGGCACAACTCTGTGGCCGCCAAGAGTCTGGAGGCTTTGAATAGCATCCACAAGGCGGACATCGAACGCCAGCGAGACGCCCTCATGGATCTCCAGAAAAACAAGTTTTCCAACAGCCCTGGCAGCGTGTCGCAGGGCTCCGCTCCTCCTGGACGACAGGTATGAGGAAAAGTCATGAGGAAAGATGCCTCTAAAACAAGTTTTAAAATATGCACGTGTTATTTAACAGGGGCAATACAGGTGAACATTGTTACACAGGAGGAAGTATTGCAACAGATGTATGTATATGTTTCTCTCTGCAACCCGCATTCCTGCTTAGCAGGCCATCAACCATTTAGTCAGACAAGTCATTTTTTTGAGGGAACAACTGCCAGAAATGTCAGCGCAGAAAGCCATCGAATAAAACAATGACTTTTAGTCCATAGAAATGATGAATCTATCTTAAGGGTTAAAGATATTTTTATTCTATTTTTTCAAATTTGTAATCACAACCGTTCATCAGGGACGCTGGAAGTCGGTCACAGTCGGGGTGCTGACAGTCTGTCAGTCACTGAACAGACTCCAGTCTGCTAAAGTTCAGACACTGATAAACCACAGAACGGTAGACGAACATTAGACTTGATGATCAGAGAGTTTTTATATCACGTCCACACTTCTGTCCATATTCTGGCTCGTCCACATGAGCTCTCTCGCTTGACATTGATGAGCGCACTGACTTTATGAAAACATGTTTCAACAAAATGCACCCACCCAGACACAAACTCTGCTTATCTTGTAAGTTTTGTAAATTGTTGGCATGACACAGCGCCCTTCTGCTGCAGCACTAAGTGAGTAAATAGGAAAATAAAGCAAATTTACCACCACTGAGGTGCCCATAACCCCAACTGCTCCAGTGGACTGAGAAACCAGAAGATATTCATATTTGGGAAGTTTAATCAGAGAATCTATTCATTTTTCTGTAAAAAAATAAATTGCTCTGAATGATTAATTGATTATCAAAATAGGCGATTAATCTGATAGTTGACAACTTATCAATTAATCGTCACAGCTCAAATATATCCATATTGTAATGAAGTAATACCTTAACAGACAATTCCCACTCATATACACGCGGATAAGAAACTTGTGCAGCATTTTAATGGATAAGTACCGTCGTAGCAGGATATTTAAACTTAATTATCAGATGTCAGACATTTAGAGTAAAGTTAGTTTTAGTGAGTATCCAGGATTTAAAAAATTAACGTTGTGAAAATGCTGTGCTATCGTCTCCTGAACTACTGCAGCTCTTGAATGTGAAAATACATATTCCATAATTGTCTATAACTGTATGTATTTTAATGCAGATCCAGATTTCTACACAGTAACAAATGTAGGGATTTGAGTGCAGCCCCGGGGGCAGGTATGAGCTCTCTGAGTGCTTTCTATTTCCACATGTGAACATTTTCTTCCTGGGAGATAATAACAGCACATCGGTGAGCTCAGAAACCCACACGGGTGCATTATGTGGCGAGATGCCTCTGGGGCTTAAGGCACACACAGTGCAGGCATTTTTACAACCAGCTTGCTGGGTCAGTAACGGCCACTTTTTAAGTGGTTATCATCTGATTCGGCAGGAGAATATGCAGAAAGGTATTTGTGAGAAAATGTCAGAAGGTGAAATATTAAACTCCCCGCTCCATCAAACCTCTCTCTCTCTCTCTCTCTCTCTCTCTCTCTCTCTCTCTCTCTCTCTCTCTCTCTCTCTCTCTCTCTCTCTCTCTCTCTCTCTCTCTCTCTCTCTCTCTCTCTCTCTCTCTCTCTCTCTCTCTCTCTCTCTCTCTCTACTCGCTTTGTTCTCCCTTTCATTCTGCCATCAATCACCATATGCTCTGACTTGATACCTGTGACAGATGGTCAAAACAGAGCCGCCTGCTTCGGCTTCTGTCTGTAGCTCAGAGGGAAAGTTCAACATGTCTGTGTGTTTTATTACAGAGCTGGAGTCAGGACGTGTTTAGCCTAGCTTAGCATTAAGACTGGAGGCAGGGGGAACTGTCCGGAGTGAATGAATACGCCTTCCAACACCCCTAAGGTTCACTACATGTTGTGTCTCACTTGTTTAATCCGTCATTTTGTGACACATTTATCCTGAATTCCTCTGTTTAATATCTCCAGCTATGGTCCCGTGTAGGGAGGTTAGTCAGTTACTCATTTGCCATTTTGTTTTCATTGTTCAGTCTGACCCTGTGTTGGTAGCTGTTGTCTAGGTGGGGCTGTTATTTTACCCTCACCAGTCAGCAACTAGACGTGTCTGCCCCGTTGACTTCAGTTTCAAGTAGCTACAAGCAGTTCACTTCATGTTTCTTATGTTTGTCAAAGAAATGTGCCCATTTAAGAATCGTTACATAACATTTTTGAGGTGAGGCCCCCTGCTCAAACCCACGCTGTGTTGCTGCAGCTCTTCACCTCTGTCCAACCTCCTTTTTCTTTGTGTTTGATTTGAAGGATTTAATTAAGATTTAATCTTTGTGGAGTCTTTTGTGAGCTATCTCTAAGAGCAGATCTTTTTACTATGTAGTGATTTGCTATAAATTTATCAATACCTTGACTGATTTGATCATTTTTACATACGATAAATGAGACTACATGTAAATTAACAAGCTTTAGAGGTGTTAGTAAGGGTATTCCTTGTTTTAGGCCAGACCCAGGCTAGCTCTTTCACCTGCCTCCAGTTTTTATGCTAAGCTATGCTAACCACGTCCTGACTCCGTTCCTAACAAGAGATCAACATCACACTTTTCACATAACTCTCAGTAACCGTATCTTTAAAGCTTCAGTATGTAAGTTTTAGTGGCATCTAGTGGTGAGGGTTGCGAATTGCAACCGGCTGCTCACGGTGCATTCATGTGCTCCTCGTTTGGTCAAGAAAGCTGCAGTTTGTCAGTTTGTAAAACAGTAAAGTCACATGTAGTTTTGTGTGAAAACCGTTTAATGAACTACATCTCTCGTCTCGCACACTATATACCACCAACATATAAGCATGGTAATGCTAGCTAACGTTTATTGCTTGGTAGCTGCTAACTTAGCTATGTTCCACGCAGAAAATATATCTCACCTGATGTGTTTAATCCAACGACTCTCTGTCATTGTATCACATCATGTAAGTTCCTCAAGTAAGTTCTTTGACTTGGCTTCAGTCACTGAGAGAGAAAGTTACGCCGTCATATATGTGACTTTCGCGTTTGTGGTCTTTGTAATGATGTATTTTCAGTCTTATACCTCAAACTGCGACTTTCTTGGCTTAGATATATATAGTTTAAATTGACTATCGTGTGTGTGTGTAATTCAATTCAAATGGGATCAAAATTAGTTGTGTCTTGCCACTGACTACTGTACACATTTTTGCAGAGTAAGGTCCCATGGTGGTCCACCGGAAGCAGAGAGACTTAGGCTGGAATCAAAATGGACGCTACTACAAAGATGTGTTGGATTAACATTATCAGAGCGTATAAACAACACGCAGACAACTAGTTCACTCTACATGGACAGCAAACTAACCGTTATAACCATATTACACATACACAAAATATGTAAATGCAATACGTGATTTTGCACGAATCAAAGTCCTGTATACTTCTTTATGTCCCATGTATTCTTTAATTTTTTCTATTTGCAATAAAGATTTAAGGAGGAAACAAAGATTCAGATTATTCCAGCACCACATGAATGCACCATCAGTCTCCGCTCCAAGCGTGCAGGAAAAGCTACGGTGGCCGACACGCTCTGTCTACTCTTGATGCTAAATAGTAGGTGTGGTCCTCCATTAGGACGAAAGGGATTGTGTAGGCTTATGTGTTTATTTATTACGTTTAGCAAATGACAAACTGAACCGACCGAGCGCTGACTACAACGGAGGCTGTCTTCTCACGCTGTTACTACAGTCACGCCGAACTCACACAGGAGGCCGGCTGCTCACCTGTTCCCGCGGTACAGGTCCATCTGTCCTCTCAGTCACAAACGGTTTGGTGACCTCTCAATAGCGCTAAGCGTTAAGCGTCACTCATCAATCTTGTCACGCAGTGAAAAACAAATCAATATTCTGATAACGTCGACTAGCGGCGAGAATCATCTCCACCCAGTAGATGAAACTCGGCATACGGCGTGATCGTAAAGTAAGAGTTTTGCATTATAAACATCTAAAACCTGAAGCACAATCTGGCTCTGATACTGTGAGCTGCACTTTATCGGAGCTGCAGACGTTAATGTGAGGATTTGCGCTGAGAAGTTTCAGTTTCTACCTCTGATGAAGTGCACTTGTCTCATTCAGTACAGTCTGTAGGGGAGCACAGCAGAGTATCGGTCAGGTAGACTTTTAAAAAAGATTATGAATTCTCATGAAATAATGACGCTGGTCTCATAATATTACGATTTTCTTCTGGACATGTCAGAGAACACAGATATGTGAGATTCTGAATGTGCAGAAAGTTTTGAACATGAGCAGAAAAGCTGCAGGAGTTGAAATTAAATTTATCATCGAGGTAAAAAGGTACCCCGACAGATGACTTTTCAGTTTTGTTTATAAATCTTTTTGTTTGAATTAAGCAAAATAAATATTTATTTTATCAATTTTTATAATCATTTATTATGTCACCAACAACTATAGAGGATAATAAAGTAAAGAAACAACATTTTGATTTTGGGGCGCTATACGTTAACTTCAGGATGGTTCAAATTGTTTTTCAGGACGGTTCCGGGACGGAGGTCAAAAAAGTTAGTCTGCAGCCCTGACCATGTCACGTGACATGAAACTGTCAATACACCACAGAAATCTTAGTTATGTGTATTAAATTGCATTTCTGTCAATAGATCCTCTTAAATGTTAAACCTCTATCCCTTCTTATTCCTCCGTCAGCTCCTGTCCATCACGTCTCCGTCTGTTCTCATCTCACCCGTCCAGCTCCTCCTTCCTCTCCACCCACTCTTTGCTCTTTCATGTGTCTATTTACCCAAACCACACCATCTCCTGGTGGAAAAGGTGGACCAAGACAGAGAGAGAGAGGGAGGGAGAGGAAGGGGGGAGAGATGGCGAAACAGGTGGAGTCTGCTGTCGTTATGGTAACCCACCGTTTCCCATATAAGGCAACTGAGTGATATCATATGGTTGGCAATGCTTGGGCTTTGGA